TTTTCTTAGGAATAAAAAAGGGCAGAGCATTTCCTCTCTGAAAAGGGCACTTGAAGTTTTGAAAGGGCACTGACTTAACACAGTAAAAATGTATCAAAATGTGTAATATTATGTAATAACTGAAGTTTATTCTCAAAAATGTTTAAATTACCACTTACATTATATTATGTGTATATTTAAAAACATAATTTTCTCTCATTATCAAAACAAGAGAAAAATTTGTAGTTTATAAAAATAATTAAAGGCATGCTAAAAAGCAATCTCTGTGAATATTTTTTTTTTCAAAAAAAAAAAAGAAAAAAAAACGGCAAAAAATAATTGATAGATAACGAATTTGAAAGTTTTTTTCTATAAACTATTAAACTGAAAATTAATAACTTATTGAAACTTTCTAAACAGAAAATTATGAGAAACATTTAAAGGTTCCTTTTTTTTTACAAAACAATAAGGTATTTGTTTAAAAAATAGCTTTAAAATTCAAAATCACCTAAAAAATTTATTAATATCTCCCCAAAAAAAGACAGTTTTTTTAAGAGGTTTAATTGCTGGTTACTAGTTAAAGTGGCTACTTTAATTTGACCAGATGAGAATAACCCTAACGAAGTCAATATTCGTAATACTAATCTGAATAACACCTATACACAGATAATTTTACCAATGTGTAATTATTATTTAAACAGTTATTTATTTATGTTTTTTAAATGAAATATGAATAAAAAGGCAGTGTTTTTAAGGGATGGGGGCTTACTTTAACAAAAAAAGCAAAGAGGGCGCATTTATTGAGATCAAAGGGCAAACAGAGCTGGCCACCCTTAAAAAAAAATACTTAGGGAGAACACTGAGATTATTTTACATCCTAAAATTTCCATTTAGGCTTATAAGTTATATTGTAAGTGCACAAAAACACTGTGTAAATATTAACTCATAAATAAAAAGAAATACTTGAGCAATTTTATCAAAGCAATGCTTTACTTTAATAAGAATTTGGTAGAACTTAACTTTTTTTATATTAATACATATGCAAAAGTTTTAAAATATTACTTCATTGATGAAAAATGCAAAAAAAATATGTTGATTCAGGGCTGTCAGTTTTGATAAATTCTCATAGATTTCAATAAATAAATAGCATACGTCAAGATAAGTGCGAAGACCTCATATTTTAACTTGAAAATAAACCACACAAGGGACAAGAAAAGATTATAACTTACGACCATTTAGGATTATAAAAATTTAGGGGGCAAAGTTACTTTTTTTTCAGTCAAAGGGGACTCAAATTGTTTTACATTTATTATGAGATAATATCAAAGGAAATAATCGTTCAAAGTAAACTTAGAAACTTTTTCTAAATCAAATTAAATTTTAGTAGCTGCATTGGAATGAACTGTTAAATAAGGACATTAAAATAGAAATTAAAATAATATTGCATCTATGGAATAGCAAGCAGGATCTACTGAAATTGGTGATAATAATTGAAGGGACTCTGTAGTGGGAAGTCATACTAAATAGCGTATGCTATATAGATAATTAACAACTGAGAATATAAAAAATAGCATGTAAAATCTAATAAAGTGGCCAAAATAATTTAATTGAAAATAATAGATTTAAGAGGGAGAAATAATAACACTTCTTAACATTGCACAATTATCTTGTACATAAAATATAATTTTTTTACAACAGATAACACAACAAACTTAAAAAGAAAAAGACTATACAAATAAACAAGATTAACAAAAAAAGCCTAAATTAAAATGAACTCGTTTGTCCCATAAAAGCTACACAAAATATCAGACAAATAATTATTTATAATCAGAAAAAATATTAAGACAATAATTTCAAGAATATAACATTATTTATAGACTTTTTTAATCAAAAATTTTTTTCATTAAAATTTACAAGCCTTCCTTTAGATTGTTAAATACTTTAGGAAAACATTTTAATTTAAGAGAATTATTCACATAAAATTAACCTTTCGGTTGCACTTCCAAAAGCAAAAATGTCTGACAAAAAAAAAATTCTAGTGTCAATAGTCTAGAAAAAGGTTTATATTTTAAAGACAATTTTTCTTTTTTATCTTTCATTTTAATTTAAATATTTTAACCATGATTCACCAATTTTGAGCCTAAAACTATAACAGGCTAATCAAAGTAAATCTAAAATTTTTGCATAAAACAATTACAAGCTAATTATATAAATTTTTATTTGTTAGACTTATATAAATTATTATATAAGTCTAACAAATCTCCTTTTCTTAAAAAAATTAATGAAATTTAAATATACTCTTATACAATATATAGGTAAATGTGAAGCATTAATGCGTATATAAATTTTGAAATTATTTTTAGGGTAAAATTTGTATAAATTTACTTAAGCAGGAGTTATGATTTAACTTATGTAATTAATGATCATAAACACATAACATAATAAATGCCTATAATAAACAGATTGACATTATAGGCAAATATATTATACTTGATTTGCAAAAATTGGATTTAAAATTTTACACAACCCCTATACATTATTGCTGTTCAACAATTAATCACCCATATTGTCTTCAATGAAATAATGAAAATTTTTTGAAAATAGGTTCTTTATAGAATGTTTACTTAACAAGGTTTTTATATCTTTTGTTGGTACAGTAGGGAACCGATTATCCGGAACGGTCGGGACCATCGCTATTCCTGATAACTGATTTTTCCGGTTTTCTGAATCGCTACAAAAAGCCGTTTTTTTTATTGTTAAACCCAACTAAAAAAAAAAATTTTGAAATAATCTTAAAAATAAGAAAAAACGATGAAGTAATACACTAATGATTATTTCCAAAATGATGGTAAGGTAAACATCGTTAAAAAAGAAAGAAAAATCGTAAAATCTTATGAGGAAAAAAAAAAAATTCTAAAAATGGGGAGAAAATTTATCAAATTTCGTTCCGGTTTTTTGGTTTTTCAGTTTTCTGATTTCCAGATAACGGGCTCTGTACTGTACATTAAGATTGGTACAGTAGGGAACCGATTATCCGGAACGATCGGGACCATCGCTATTCCGGATAACTGATTTTTCCGGTTTTCTGAGTCACTACAAAAAGCCGTTTTTTTTATTGTTAAACCAAACTAAAAAAAAAAAATTATGGAAATAATCTTAAAAAGAAGAAAAAACGATGAAGTAATACACTTATGGTTATTTCCAAAGTGATGGTAAGGTAAACATCTTTCAAAAAAGAAAGAAAAATCCTAAAATCTTATGAGGAAAAAGAATATTTTTTAAAAAAATGGCGGGAAAATTTCTCGAATTTTGCTCCGGTTTTTTGGTTTTCCGATTTCCGGATAACGGGTTCTGTACTGTATAATAAAGCTCATACAATAAGAGGACCAGAATGAGAGGCTTCAGCATGCATATTCAAATGTTTAAAAAATATATTATTTTTTAATAAACAAAGGTTAAGAATTAAAATAATATCTTTTTCAGGCTACAAATTATTTAACAGTAATATTTTGAGAATTTTGAAAGTTTTGAAAAAAATTTTATCATAGGAAATTTTAAGGTAGATGTACCCTTCAAGATAGCTTTTGCTTAAAAATATATAAAGTATATTAAGCAGATTCAGCGTATATCTAAATTGCAAGTAGCCCATTTAACCATAATACTGCAACATAATTTTGCATTAGAAAAAAATTAAGCTTCATAAATTTGCCAAACATTGAACTAAAACAAAGTTTATAAAAAGTAAAGATTGCATATTATCAAAAATATTTATTCGAAAAAAAAAAAAAAAACAAGATCAAATTTTTTTTTTAAATAATGGAAAAATTCAAAACAAATTTTTAGCGAAATATTGAGTACTCTCATAGAATAGAATGCAAATAGATAGAATTCATAATTTTGTTGTTAGAAATATTATCAATTATTAATTTGAAATCAAGTAATATAAATGTTGACATTAACATTTAATAAGAAATTAAAGACAAACTTATTCCAAATTTCATTTTGTAAATAACTATTTTCAAACCTTTAAGCATAATTAATCAAAATAAAATCATTAATGACAAAATCATATACAAGTATATTTATAAAGTAAAAAAAACTTTAAAAAAATATTTTTCCTCTGTGATAACAAAAAACATTCACATTATTGATATAGAATTTCACATTAATTTAACTAATAAAAAACTGCCTCAAGCCTGAAATATTGATTAGAATAACATTAACTAATGTAAATAAAAATGTCAAAATTATTTTTAAAAAATAAAAAATAATTTTAGAAAACTTTTGTAAATTACTTTATTTTACCTTTTTTAACAAATCAAAGATATCAATTTTAAGTTTCTATTTTATAAGGCAGTTATTTTAAATTATGTCACCCTAAATGAAGTATCTGATTTTAATTCTAAAATACAAGGCAATCAAGAAAGCTAATAATTATTAGAAAAATAAATATAAATAATTTTAAAAAATGCTTGCTAATTGTTCTGCTTAATTTTCCAAAATAATTTCAAAAAGTTAACTATTTCCAAACAAAAAATTTTTTTCATGAAGCAGTGATTTCTTGATTCTGGTTTAGTGATTTTGATTTAGTGATTCTACATTAGATCAACTGAAATAGAGAATTAGATAATAATACTTAACAAACAAAAAATTTATTCTAAAATATAAGGCAATAAATATATTTATTATTTAAAATATATATATGAATAATTTTTTAAAAATGCTTGCAAATTAATTTTTTTACCTTATTTGTCAAAAGATAAAGTTTTGCTTACAACTCCAAAGTATAAGCCAAAAGAATTAGCAATATAATATTTTCATAAATTCTAATTTAAAAAATCAAGAAGAGAATATTTTTTAACACTAATACATACATTTCACAGGCAACGACTTTCTTCTTTAATGAAGAATGAAATTTATAATTTTAATCTACTCTATCGATGATATATAAAAAAGAACTACAATTTTTTTTAAAATATTGATTTCAACTAATATTAGGTACTGCAATCTATAAGAGATAATTTTTTTTAAACATCAAAGAATTTTAATTCACTACAGAAGAGAATCGACATTACGAGATATTTAATTCACTGGGATAAATTACAGATTGGGAATGCAGTTCTGCAAGTTTTTTTATTGAGGAAGGGACACATTTTTGTTTAATTTGAGCCTTTTTTATAAACTTTGGGACAAACTACAAGACAGTTTACGAGGTGGGAAAATGAACTAATCAGTTGTATTAGAAGTAACAAAAAGAAGTATATAGGAAACTTGATTGATTCGTACGACTTCTGCAACAACCGATTAGAACTCAACAATGTAAATACTATACTACAAATGCAATCAGTGTGCTGATATATTTGTGGACTGTCTTATGGAACTATATTAATCAACCTCGAAAAAATTGAGGTTTTTTTTAAGTAAAATAACAAATCTGATGCTTATGAAGTATTATTGCATAACATTTTTGTTTCATCTATGTGATAAGCTCTGCGTAAAAAACTGTATTCAAATTACATAATCGGGTTATTACCTTTGTCAACATTGTACTAGTCTTTCATGGCTTATGGTGCTATGTGTAGTGGCAGCTTTTGTACCTAGCACTGATTACTATTCACTGATGATCAAAGACAGCACAGAAGAAAACAGGCAATCAACTGGCAGCTCACACAAGCATAATAGAAAGTAAGACTAACAGTAGTACAAAGCAGTCACTGATTTATTAGGAGTAATTTCTAAAAATAAAAATAAAAACTAGTTTTGGGTCAGTTGTACAGGTAATTCGTTTTCCTGATTCCTCATTAAATCGTTTTCAGATTCTGGCAAGCTATCGTTGACATTAGGATCAACAGAAGCATTCCTAGATGGTCTATCTAAATGATCACTACCATTGCTGCAAACAGGCTCATTTTCAACTATACCAAGATGGGTACTGCTTGGTCTAACTAGATGCTCATTATGAGGACTACCAATGAGTTCATTTCTATTATGATGATCTGAAGCATGTCTTGAAAAATGATCTTTATTTACAATTCCCATATGTTCATTATTAACAGGATCTATGTGCTCATTGTTGACTCGATCGAAATGCTCACTGCGAGCATTAGCAAAATGTTCATGGTTGGGACTAACCATAAGTTCGGGAGGCGACTTATTCATATGCTCATGGTTGAGTCTACCCATATGATCATTAGCAGGTCTACTTGACATGTGTTCATTATTAGCTCGACCCAAATGATCATTGGCAGATTGAATCATGTGCTCATTATTAGATCTCCCAATGTGCTCGTTGCCGGAAGATACCATGTGTTCGCTGCGAGGCCTACTCATAATATCATTGACAGGTCTATTCATTTCATTGGCAAGATGTTCATTACTTAGATTATTTAAATGTTCATTGCTGGACTGACTTAAGTGATTACTGTTGGATCTTCCCATGTGCTCATTAGAATGATTTATATGATCTTCCATATGTGATGGTCTACCTAAATGTTCCCCATTAGGTCTACCTAAATGATCATTTGGCCTTCCCAAGTGCTCATTATTCGGCCTACCTATGTGCTCATTAGATCTACTCAAATGATCACTTTGCCTACTCAAATGATCATCATTCTGTCGAATCATGTGTTCACTTGGTGGTCTACTAATGAGCTCATTGTTAGGTCTTCCTAAATGATCAGTAGATGGTGGCCTACTCATGTGATCGTTATTCAGTCTACTCATATGCTCTTGCCTACTTATATGATCACTACTTGATCGACCTAAGTGGTCACTATTAGGCTGACCAATATGATCATTTGCCTGCCTCAGATGTTCTGAATTTTGCCTCATGTGTTCATTTGATTGCCTCAACATCTGTTCATTAACATGTCTTCTCATTTGTTCATTTCTTAAAAGCTGCTCATTGTTTAATCTTGGCATAGATTCACCACTAGTTGAAGCCAAATAATTGGTACTTAATCGACCTAACTGTCCACTTAAAGATCGTTCTAATTGTTCATTAACATGCCTGTTTATTGTCTCATTATTTAACCTGCCCAAGTGGCCATTTAAAGATTGTCGTAAAAAGTCATGACCGGGCCTACCCATGTGTTCATGCAAGGATCTATATAATGCTTCATTACTAGATCGACCAAAGTGGTCATTTAATGCTCTACCTAAAAGTTCATTTCCTTGTTTACTAAAAGAATCATTTGGCTTTGAAAATGATGAATTCCCAGTTTTCAAAAGATGGTCATTTATAGTTCTTAAAGATTCGGACTTACTCATTGGATCATTTATCTGACGTACGGAATGATCGTTAATGTGCTTACCGTTATGGTCAGGAGCTTCTATTTTGTAAATAGTTTCAGACATTTGCTGCCTCATCGATAAATCGTTGGCAGCTTGTTTGACCAAATGCTCATTAAGTTGTTTCAAAGACAAATCATTAGGTGGGCGGCCCCGCCGATTGACCGATAAATTAGAGCTGTTATTAGTGATAGCCTTATTATTATTGTTATTGGGGCCAGTGATACCCCTATTCACGTGATTCGCCATATGACACTCTAAACTAGACCTTGTGACAAAAGATTTGCAGCAAATGCCACATTGATAGGGTTTATCTACATCGGGTGGACGGCAGTGTAACTTCATATGCGTTTTCATGTTACCTTTTTGCGTAAAACATTTTCCACAAATCTGACAAGCGTGATGCTTTTCACCGCTATGGGATCTCATGTGAGTTTTCATGTTACCTTTCTGCGTAAAAGCCTTCCCGCAAACTGCACATTTGTAAGGCTTATTACCAGTGTGACTGTTCATATGATATTCCATACTTAATTTTTGAGCAAAAGTCTTACCACAAATTTCACATGAAAATGGTTTGATGCCTTTATGAGAAAGAATATGAGTATTTAAGTTACCTTTGAGAGTAAACCGCTTGCCGCACACTTCGCATTCAAATGGCTTCTCCCCATAGTGAGTCCTAAGGTGGGTTTTCATATTTCCTCGTTGGGCAAAACCTCGACCACAAATCTCGCATGAATAAGGTTTAGTCCCAGAATGAGATATGAGATGCGTTTTAAGATTGCCTTTTTGTGTGAAGCTCTTGCCACAGATCTCACAGCTGAAGGGTTTTAACCCTTGATGTATGCTTCTGTGGTAATCCATTGTGGATTTTTGGGTGAAACCTTTGCCACACACTTCACAATTGAAAGGCTTGACTTTAGAATGGCAAAACATGTGATTCTTAAGGTTACCTTTCTGCGAAAATTTTTTCCCGCAAACCTCGCAGGGAAATATTTTCGCCTTCTTGCTATCCTCTCGATCCACAGGGCCGCCACTCACTGAAACGTTATTATGATTGTTTACTCTGCTTACTAGATTTCCGTTTGACGGAGCGGTGGTTAAATACGAATTCTGATTTGTAACTTCTCCTTCTGAACGAGCTGTGCTACTTGGTATTTGAAGCATAGGGGGTTTTTCCATCATAGGGTGATCGGTAAAAATGCTATAGGCATAAGCACAAGAGCTCATGGCAATAGCGGCGGCCAAGCTGGGGACTTGGGTCGGAAGGTCCGATGGTAAAAAGTTGTGTTCCATCGTAAATTTCTTTTCAATTGTTGTATTTTAGGAATAATAAACCAATTGCGATAGTATCTTAACGCACAGGAAAACATTAAAAAACAAATTCACAATTTTCGCGAAATACGCGACACACAATAAACAATGGGCATTAGTTGATCTTAAGTCACAAAAAAATATTTAGGCAATAATTACCTTTTTTAAACTTTTAAGTATTTAAAAGCAGCATAATTGCTGCCAAAAACGTGTTGAAAACACTGTTTACAAACAGTTCTGTCACATAATGAACAAAAATAACAGCCACTACACATAAACAAAACCAATGGCACCCTATAACTCCATATCGATAAAAGCCATCAGATCAGTAAAAAAACGCTTTGAAAAAAAAACTAGCAGGATTGCTTGTTTGCGAAGGTAATGCCAGTTTTAATGCTTTGAAACTATTTTTTTATGAGTCAAAATAAAAAATAAATTTAATTCCTTTAAAAACATTTCTTACAGCTCGAAAATGAACAAAAATAATAATTAAATCATTAAGTGAAGGAGATTAAATGTGTTTTATTAATTAGGGTTAACATCACTATAAAAGAATGGGACAGTTTTTCCTCATCCCTGATTGGTTGATTTTATTTTCTGTTCTTTATGACGAAAAAAGAAAAGAAAAGTGCGCGATAGTAAATTGTTTTTGTTATAATTTAAATGTTAAATGAAACGAAAATTTAACTTACTACTTTGAACAGCTATGAATGACAGGTTGATCTTCTAAGTGAGAACTCTGATCCTGTTTGCTTTTGTTTTTGTTATTCGATATCCCAAATATTCTAAAACAACAAAAAATTTCTGAAACATCGCTAATATTAAAAATTAAACGATTAAATTAATGACTATATTATAATAAAATGGAATAACGTTTGTTAAATGCTTTAAAAAGAATCAAATAAATGCTTTTGCTAAAATTATTTTTATTTGTTCAAATTATTTTAAAAATTGAAACAAAATAATACGATCTGCAATAAGCTAAATATTTTAGACTGTCGCGATAATTTTATTTTAAAATTTAGAATAAGAGCAGATAAAAAGCGCTTTCTTAGAAATTTTATAAGGAATCATAAAGAATGAAATTAAGAATCCAATTAGCAGTAAACAATTACAACAACTAGGGCTCATGACCTACCGATAAAGGGATATAATATAGAATTAATTTGCAGCTTTTATCAACAACTCTTCATGCGTATGGTATTATATTCCCCTTTACTAAACTTTTTTCTCTGATAAATATAGAAGAAATGTTAGAAAATGTATAAAGTGCACAAACCAAACAGCAAGTGTGCTGGATATCGAATCTGCGTCAATCACGCTCATCCGATATTTATATACTCGATACATTAAACTAAACCTATTAAAAATATTATATCTGTGTATGGAAAAAGTATCTAAATGGCACACTGATAAATTTTTATTTAAGAAACTTCAAAATTTAAACAAAATCCGATAAAATATAAATTTGATACATTTAAAAAAGAAAAAACAGGATTAAAAAACCGAAACTGAGACGATGGTGGTATAAATGTGATTTTATTACAAGTACAAATCTTTTGGTTTTTATTATTATCATTATTGTTGCTTTTATTATCATTATTGTTAAAAACTAATATACGTTTATTAAAATAAATATAAGAAACCTTATAAGATACTATATAAGATACATAATATAAGACATTTTTTTATTTTTAAATATTTTATTTATTTATACAACCGAAAAATTCAGTATGAGAAAAAAACATGCTAAGTACTGACTACTGACCACTACTGATACGTGATTTTATACCATTTTGAAAAAAAAAATTAACTGTGTAAATTAAGGGTTATTCAAGTGAGAAAGAAAATAAAAAAGTTGCTTTGCGGATCTTTCAGATTCAGGATTGGTCCGAGCTTGAAAATGTTTAAATATTTTTATTTTTCCCGTCGCTTATTTGCACTCACTTGTCACTTAATTTGCGACATTTATTGAATGAGTATTTTTTCTTTCATATTTCAGAAGGATTTTAATTCCCACAACATCTTGTACAGACCGCAAAAAAAAAAAAAAAAAA